CCGCCCCTGCCTTGTGCCCCCGGCTAATTGGCCCCTGCCGTACATGCCCTGCCGTACGTGCCCTGCAGTACATGCCCTACTCTGTGTGCCCTGCTCTATGTGCCCTGCTGTATGTACCCTGCCATACGTGCCCTGCTCTATGTGCCCTGCCATATGCACCCTGCCACACGTGCCCTGCCACACGTGCCCTGCCATATGTGCCCTGCTCTGTGTGCCCAGCCATACATGCCCTGCTCTATGTGCCCTGCCATACGTGCCCTGCCATACATGCCCTGCTCTCTGTGCCCTGCCATACGTGCCCTGCCATACATGCCCTGCTCTCTGTGCCCTGCCATACGTGCCCTGCCATACATGCCCTGCTCTCTGTGCCCTGCCATACGTGCCCTGCCATACATGCCCTGCTCTCTGTGCCCTGCCATACGTGCCCTGCCATACATGCCCTGCTCTCTGTGCCCTGCCATACGTGCCCTGCCATACATGCCCTGCTCTCTGTGCCCTGCCATACGTGCCCTGCCATACATGCCCTGCTCTCTGTGCCCTGCCATACGTGCCCTGCCATACATGCCCTGCTCTATGTGCCCTGCTCTATGTGCCCTGCCGTACATGCCCTGCTGTACGTGCCCTGCTGTACGTGCCCACGTGGCCAGGGGAGCTGAACTCTCTGCAGGGCAAAGGCCCGCTCCTGAGCGAGGTCGCTGTGATGCTTCCAGGTGGCCCCGTGTCTTGCCAACAGGTTTCTGTCAGAGTGTAAGAGGATTTTCTTATTAGAAATGTGGGGAAAAAAAACCCAAAATGCTGCTTGTTTCCTTCTGCCTGGGATGGGCCACCCCCTTTCAAAGCCGGGCCCCATTCCCAGCCCTGGCTGCGGAGCAAACACAAAACCGGCAGCGCCCGGCTCCAAGGTCGGCTGCCACGGAGCGAAGGGCGAGCGGTGCCAGGCACCGGGCAGCCCCCCCTTGCCTCCCCGCTCCTGCCCTGCGTTACTACGGGCTCCTGGGCTGTTTCTCCCCTAGCCCTGGAAGGTCTTAAATCTTTAGAACGAGGGGCCGAGAGGTGGTTTTTCTCGTTATCAGACCCATTCAAACAGCAACCACTGCTGGTTAATCTTTAGCACATTCCTGGCACTAGCAACCTTCTCCGTAGGCTCCAG